AGGCTGTGACGTGGAGAAAAGCTTGAGCATGATTGGCTTGTCTGATGTTCTGTCTGCCAGCTGAAGCCAACGATACTCCTCGATTTCTGACCTTTGCCCATCTGTAAGGGGAAAGGTTTTCAGTCTTTTGGCTAAAGATGCATATTGAGCATATTTCTGTGTGTACCGAACGTCCCACCTTTCCTCCTGACACGTTCTGGTCGACCCACAAAGATCACAACACCAATGATGTCGGAAATGTGGCCTTGTGGACAACTTGGAAGCTCGTGCCTGTAAAGCACGATCACTTAGTACATTTCTTTGATTTCAATTCAAGACTATAAAGGATATTGGGATTGTGATTTTGTACACATACCCACAGATGAATGAATGAGGCAGGTCTGGTAAAATCCAGTCCGGCGAAATCTGGTTCTTGGGGATGATAGTTATTTGAGCAGTGGGGTTCCTGGAATTAAGACTGATCTCTGAAGGATGAACAGAAGGTTCAAAGAAACAAAATATGTCTGAATAATATCCATGTTATAAATAAGAACTAATATTTTTTTTATCTTATTCATATACTGCAACAGACACAAACCTTCAATAGTTTTAGGTCAGTAAAGTTTTTAAAAGACATTTTTAAAACATTAAGGAAAAATTTATAATAATGAAAATATATGAAAACAGTTCATTTAAACTGTAAAAAATATTTCACAATATTACTATGTAACTGTATTTTTTGATCATATAAATGCAGCATCGGTGAGCATAAAAGATCATTAAAGAAAAGATAATTTTGATTAAAAATCAAAAACATAACCTGGCCGACACAAAACTTTTGAACGGTAGTGTGTATGTCATAACTTCATATGCTAGATGAGTTTAATGTTCTCTCTACCAATGTGTGGCTCTGATTCCTGCCCCGTGCGGCTGCTGTAACTCTCCTTGACTCTGTAGCGACACAATCTTACAACCTGACCCGGATGAAGGATTCGGTACCATTCCAGACAGACTGTGTTCCACAGCACAACACAGGCACTGGATGAGCCGTCACCAACCTGCAGCTCTGCCTGAGGACAACAGATTGATGGAAGAAGCTAAATTCAACGTCAAACCAATCTTGTGATGCATAACTAAAATGAACCAGTTTAGACTGGCATACAGATGAACAGTTGAAGTTAAAGTTGAAGTGCCCACAATATTAGTCAATAAATATCAAATATCGCTTGATATACTGCATCTCTGCTTCTTATTAGATTCGTTCTTACCAAAGCAACTTGTATTCTTCCAAAAATTACTACAAATGTTAAAAACAATATTTATTTTATTACATATGACCAAGTTCCTACTGTTAACAGATATTTGCACGGAAAAGGATGTCTTGTATTTGACCTCTGACCTTATAAGGACATTCACATTTCTGATCTGCTTTCCCGTAATAAATCAGTCTGGATTTGTGAAGGATCCGCACACACAAAGCCCCCCGGTAACGCCGAGATCCACTCAAGAAATGTCTGCGTACTTCTGCGAGGGAAACAGTGGAGCCAATATCTGCCACCAGAAACAAAGGCACATGCATGAATTTCATTTGTGTTCCACAGAAAAAAAAGTAAGTCATGCAGGTTGAAGGTGAGTAAAACATCATAGAATTTATTATTTTATTTAATTTATTTATTTGGAGTGAATTATCCCCTTGTGTTTGAAGGTGAATTTGACCCATGTATTTCATGGTTAACAGCCACTGGATAATAAATATTTTGTTATGCTAATTTCTCTACCACTGTCTACAGTTTTCCACACTTCTTCTGTTTAAAATCTTTTAGAAAATGTTTCAAACTTGTTTAAAATATTCAAATATGTGACCCTGGACCACAAAACCAGTCATAAGTAGCACAGCTATATTTGTAGCAATAGCCAAACAATACATTGTATGTGTCAAAATTATCCATTTTTCTTTTATGACAAAAATCATTGGGATATTCAGTAAAGATCATGTTCCATGAAGATATTTTGTACATTTCCTACCGTAAATACATCCAAACTTAATTTTTGATTAGTACTACGCACTGCCAAGAACTTCATTTGGACAACTTTAAATGCGATTTTCTCAATATTTAGATTTTTTTGCACCCTCAGATTCCAGATTTTGGAAATCAGATTGCCAAATATTGTCGTATCCTAACAAACCATACATCAATGCAAAGCTTATTTATTCAGCTTTCAGCTGATGTATAAATCTCAATTTAAAAAATAAAAGTCCCTTATGACTGGTTTTGTGGTGCAGGGTCACATATTCAGTTTTTTAATACATACATTTTTTCATGTGTGATAAGTATTAATATTAAAGGTTGTTGAAATCCAGTTAATAATACAATAATGTTAAGTATTTTAGAGGGAAGCTGTTTAGGTGAAAAATATAGGCCCCAAGTGATATGTTTATAAGTGAGTGATTCACTTTCATCTTCCACACCATGTATCTCCTCCTCCTCCTCCTCCTCCTCCGCGTCGGGTTCAGAGGGAGCCGTGTCCCGCCACATCTCTCCACAGAAGTCGTGATTATTCCACAGCGGCAGATAGCAGCTCCTGCGCGCTCTGAGCGGACCTGCGCTCGGCTCTGCTCCCATCCACGGAATGGCCCTCACATTGACGGAAGAGAGCGCCCTCAGAGCGGCATCGCCGCCGGAGAGTCTGTCCACCTCCAGGCTGCACGCATGAAAAGACGCGCTGTCTTCCCCGCGGCTGAGCTCCACATGCCGTATGACAGAGCCGCAGCGGAGCACATTGACGCTGATGAGTCTGTTGACCGCGGGATCCAGAGACACGCGGATCTTACAGTCTCCATCCGTGATAGTGGCCTCGAACAGACTCTCTGACATGGAGATGCTGTCCGGGAAACGGAGCGCGAAGTCCGCGTCTCGGCCGTAGCGCTCCAGAGAGATCACGTACAGCGGCTCCGAGCGGGTTCGCACTCTTGGGGAGGAAGATGTGCTGTATATGAACCTGTTTAGGGTCTTTTTGAGAGTGCAGCACTCTGAGGAGCTGCCTGACAGCGCGGCCATGTTCGCGCGACACAATAACAATACCGCAAAGCATTATGGGAGATTGAGTACAGCACAGAAAGACAACGAAAATAAAATGTAGGCTATATGCCCAGTTGTGTTGTTAAAATGCGTGTTTGAGCAGTCCTAACTAAAAGCAACTTGCACTGACATGTCTGAAAACATGCCAGTGCGCAGTGCCATTGATTTGTATGAAGATGCACAGTGATGTTTAAAAAAAAACTAGCCTACTTAAAGATTCTAATTTAACTAAAGTGTAATCCTGGCTTAATCTAACCCCTGGCTGTGAAACTAGGCCATAATGTTGAAAACAATTACTGAAATCAAGAATGAAATGAAATAAGAAATAGACAAAAATAAAATAGAAAAAGACGCAATTCTCAAAAATGAAAGAATGAACAGAACAAATAGAAAGAAAAATATATAGTAGAAATATGAAGCGTGTATGTGATCCTGGAGCACAAAACCAGTCGCAAGAAGCGCACGGGTATATTTGTAGCAATAGCCAGAAATACATTGTATGTATGGGTCAAAATGATCAGAAATCATTAGGATATTGAGTAAAGATCATGTTCCATAAAGATATTTTGTAAATTTCCTAGTGGGAAACTTATGCATAAATCTCAATTCTGACTTTATGACTGGTTTTGTGATCCAGGGTCACATATGAATTATATTTGAAGAAAGAAAATGAAATGAAATGAAGGAACTTTTATTTTATTTATAAAAAGATTGAAATAAAAATATTAAGAAAATAGGAATAAAAAAATATATAAATAATAAAGAAATAAATGAAACAACTGTTGACATAAAAAGCAGAAAATCAAATGCACGGGTGAAGATATATAAGAGAAAACAAAGATAAAGGAGAAAACTACAAATATTTTAGAAATCTAAAATAAGAAAATATAAAGAAAACGATGAAATAAAGATGAATAAAATACAAAAATAAAGACTAGTAAAATCATATAACAGTATATATATCCTATTACTTGTTTCAGTTTTTATAACCATTTCTTATGTGTAAGTTGTTGTTTTCTTGCGTGTGTGTTTGGCAGTGCTATTTTTTAGGATTACTGATAATCGTACTGATCGTTTGATTTGTATTACTTGCATTTGTTATTTATTTAAATTTTAGTTGCATTATGTCTGAATTTATTATGTCTGTATAGGTCTTTTATTAAGTTTTTAGTTTGATTTAATTTGAGTTATTTTAATACCTCAACAAACTAAATGGAAATGAAATAATATATATATTGCATTTATAAATGTGTATGTACATATACAGTATATCTGTATGTGTGTGTGGTTGCACATGCACACATATGTAGTTGTTTTTTTGGTGTTTGCTTAGTGTTACGTTAGAATCATTATTATACTCTTATACCTTTTGTTGAATTGTTTTTAGCTTTATTCTTTTGGTTTTCATTTAAATGTTAAGTTTTGAAATGTTGTTGTATGCATTTGTCATTTTTATTTAATCTCTTTATTTCTAAAATGTGTATAGGTAGTATTTATGAAGTTTCAGCTTTTAGTTTTGGATCTGTTTTTAGTTGTTTTAATACTACAACTGATTGCTTCTGTTGTCCTCATTTGTAAGTCGCTTTGGATAAAAGCGTCTAATAAATGACTAAATAAATAAATAAAATATAAAATGATTACAATAAAGACTAAATAAATAAAAAATAACTTTGAAAAAAAGTTACAGAAAAGTAAATACATGAAGATAAAAATATAGAAAGTCAAGTATGTAAATAATAAACGAAAATCTGAAAGAAAAGGAAAGAAAGACATTTTGACAGCAGTGTGAGCTGCAGAGCATTTGGGTCCCATGACAGCGCGATGAAAACACACAGGACGCCATCTAGCGGTGACTGCGAGTCACTGATGCAGCGCAATGAACGCACAGCTCCTCAGGCGAGCGTGGACTCAGGAGTGGTATCCCGTATGAGCGGACTTTAAAGACCGCAGCATGGACACAACTTATTAGCAGTTCTCTTTTCCAGTGTCTGAAGCCTGCTGCCCGGACTCTTGTGCCATGTGGAAATATTACAAAAACGGAGTTGTACCGAAAAGAAACAAGCAAAAATCGGTAAGATTGTATTTTCAATGTAATATATTTTATCCTTTTAAAGTCAATACAGAAGACTTTTCCTCCGTGTAAATTTAAAATGGATTATTTATGTGTAGCACTTTCTATTCTATTTTAATTCTACTTTATCTATATTTATCTTCTTTTTTGTTTTATTTTTTGTTTTAAAACAACAACAACAACAAATAACTAACAAACACTAGCTTTCTATTTTTTCTATTCTATCTACTTGTTTTTCTTTGTGTGTGTGTGTGTGTACTGGTTTATATATCCTGTTGGGGACTTAAACCTGACTACACACAGACTCATGGGGACTCGTGGTCCCCACGGGTACAAAAGCTTATAAATCATACAGAATATGTTGTGAGATGTATGTGCTAATATATTGTAAGATGTCCTTAATTATGTGATAGAAAAACATTTTAGGCCACCAGAGTGTTCCATTATCCAGAGTGAGTGTGGAAACAGAGCTGGAAATCACGGCGCACCTTAAAGTAAGTTAAATTAATTAATGTTTCAGAATCTATTTTAGTCTCATATTGGGTTATGATTGATAAGTAATGACTATTCTTAGGATTATCAGGCTTAAACCATGTTTATTGTTCTTTATTGGATATATAGCCTATCAGAAAAAGTAATGAAGTAAAGACTTTTATAGAATAAATTAAACAAATATGAAAATACATTTAATAGGAAATGCATGTATGAAGATGAATGAAGTATAAAATATTTTTGAAATAGGAAATAATAAAATAAAGAAAATGAATGGGAAAAAACAATTACAATTAAAGGAATAAGTAATGATTATTCTTTATTAAAAATGCGTTGGATTATCAGGCTTAAATCATGTTTATAGCACTTTAATTATTGCATCAAATAAATGTAAAAAAAAATTAAAATCAGGTGTAAAAGATTAATTGCAATTATAGAAAGACTTAATGAGTAAATAAAACAAATATTGAAATAAATATAATAGAAAATAAAATACATGTGTGAAGATAAAGGAGAAAAATATAAAAATATTTTGAAAAACAAAGTAAAAAATGTATAAAGAAAAAATAAAATAAAGACAGACAAAATATAAATATTAAGAAAAATGAAAATCAAATATAAAAAATACCACAATGGTCAAAAATCGAATGAAGTATTTTCTGAAAGGATCATCTAAATTTGAGAAATTCCAACAAAGGAAGCTGCAAATTAAAATCATTAGTTAAATTATTCATTTTTCTCTGTTCCAGTACCATTTGCATCAGCGTCATTTGAAGGGAACCACTCAGAATTCGTCTCTTGAGGAGAAAGAAGCCGCAGTGTTTCAGCAAACGAGGTTCAAGGTTAGTATGGTATGTTAACGTTTTAAGCATTTATTATAATTATATAATTTACGCAGACATGATGTGATCTAACATACATGAATGAATTCTTCTTTGGTGTTAAAGGACCAAGCTTCGTCAAACGGTCCTCCTGATCTCCTGCAGAGCCTTGTGCCACTAGATAAGATAGAGAAGGAAGAAAAAGAATACAAAAAGGAAAAGAAAGAGGGAACAGTAAATGTTCAAAATGCATCTTCATGTACGGATGAGGCCCCGGAGGGCCAAGGCTCTCTGTCTGAGGGACCATTTAGAGCTGCGGGTGTTGACTACAAACAAAGATCAAATGCAAGAGATCCAAAACGGCAAGATGATTCTTCTCCAAACACCTTACATGATGACAATATTTCATCATTACATTTTAAACACAGGAGATTCATGATCTATCTGTGTGGTGGATATAAAGGTAAGGTGGATATAGATTCTCTCAACAACACATATACTTTGCTAGATCGCTAGATTATTGAAACACACACACACACACACATATAGTTCAAAAGTTTCATATTTTTAATGTTTTTATGCCCGACCAAGTTTTATAATATTGTAAAATATTATTACTATATAAAAAGAACTGTTTGCTTTTTGAATATATTTTAAAGCGTAATTTGTTCCTGTGATGACAAAGCTGAATTTTCAGTCTTTAGTGTGACACCATCTAGATAATTCATTTCTGTCACTTTTGATTAATTTACTGTTTCCTAGTTTAATAACACTTTCATTTCTTAAAAAAAAAATCGTACTGACCTCAAACTTGAATTTAGCTATACTTGACATATGTTGTGTGTGTGTAGATACCGTCCCAGAGCGCAGTGCACTGATGGAGAGTGTGTATCCGCGGCTGTATCTACACTGTAAGCAGAGAGGATATGATTTCAGGATGATAGACCTGCGTTCAGGAGTCGGAGATCCTGTTTCGGACAATCATGATTTGGCAGAGATGCACACGGAGACACTTAGACGTTGTCAGGAGACTGAGGGGCCAACTTTTATTGTAGGTTTAGTTGCACACAGATCATTTACCTTCCAAGAGAGTCTCATGGGGAGAACGTAATTTGTTCCTGTGATGACAAAGCTGAATTTTCAGTCTTTAGTGTGACACCATCTAGATAATTCATTTCTGTCACTTTTGATTAATTTACTGTTTCCTAGTTTAATAACACTTTAATTTCTTAAAAAAAAATCGTACTGACCTCAAACTTGAATTTAGCTATACTTGACATATGTTGTGTGTGTGTAGATACCGTCCCAGAGCGCAGTGCACTGATGGAGAGTATGTATCCGCGGCTGTATCTACACTGTAAGCAGAGAGGATATGATTTCAGGATGATAGACCTGCGTTCAGGAGTCGGAGATCCTGTTTCGGACAATCATGATTTGGCAGAGATGCACACGGAGACACTTAGATGTTGTCAGGAGACTGAGGGGCCAACTTTTATTGTAGGTTTAGTTGCACACAGATCATTTACCTTCCAAGAGAGTCTCATGGGGAGAAAATTGTAGTATTTTTATCAATATTTAAGCCATAGACTTTTTCACAAAGCCAAATGTTGCGCATGTTTCAGTGTTGGACTGGGAAGTGGAACAGGGTCTTGGAGGAAAGCAGCCTCCGGAGGAGTACAGTCACTGCTATAAGAGGATCATCACTGACCTTCTGTACAATCTGAAAAATGAATACGCACCACAGTTTATAGACCTGCACAAAGGAAGATCTGAAATCAATCAAACCTTGCATCAAGCTCACCAGCGCTTCATACGCAACATTCACCTCAAGGTCGGTATCTCTCTATCTAGATATCTCTAGCTAGCCAAGGTACTGTTCAAATATCTGGGGCCAGTAAGATTTGTTAAAATAAATGAATACATCTATTAATCAAAGATGAATTAAATTGATCAAAAGCGACAGTAAATAGATTTATAATGTTAGAAAGATTTCTATTTCAAATACAGTAAATGCTGTTTTTGAACTTCCTATTCATCAAAGAATAATGATCAGTTTCTACAAAAATATTAAGCAGAAATTTGTTTTCAACATTGATAATAATAAATGTGTCTTGAGCACCAAATCAGCATATTAGAGTGAAAATTCAGCTTTGCATCACAGGAATAAGTTACATTATCCTCTCAGAGATATATTTAAAAAATATCATGATTGTACTGCATAGTCATTCTGCCTTATGGAAATCGAAATGTGTATTGAGTGTTGTTAAAATGATTCATTAAATCTTGCATTTGAATTATTTTCAAGCTGAGACACACTAATATCCACGAGACAAACGTCAGCTGGGGAAGGAAGGGTCTGAGTGCCAAACACAACAGATCTCATCAGTTTTATGTGGAACGGCTCTGCTCACACTTCCAGCGCACTGTCACTGCATCCCTCAACAAGTAAGATGACACATTCGTCCTTCTGTTCTTCATCTCACTTTATCACTGTCTGTCAAGTTCTTCTCAAAGTGTTGCTTCAGACTTATGCAGGTCCGTCAGGCTAAAGGCTCCTTCGACATGCAGAGGAAGGAGGTTTCCAGACTCCGAGTTGAAGAAGAGATTCGCCGTCATGTCAGATTTGGGAAAACACTGTGAGTCACAGATTCTACCATGGTTCAGTTTTATTTGACTAGTTTGAATTGAACATAAATGTTCTTTCTTTTTCCTTGTTAGAGCACAGGGCTATGCATTCAGGCAGGACTTTCTGATGGAAATGAAGCGTGCACTTGAAGCATCGGCGTCTTCCCAGAATGCTGTGCTGTTACTGGGGGAGCCGGGGTCTGGAAAGAGCACGACACTTGCCAAACTGGCACAACTCATACCTAGCTGGATACCTGGGTAGGCTAACAAAGGAAACATGAATTTAAAACATTTAAAGAAGAATTTTTAAGTAGTATCTTGCATTTATTTGATCAAAAATACAAAAAATGGTAATTTTAAAATAACTGTTTTCCATTTGAATATATTTTAAAATGTAATTTATTCCTGTGATGGCATTACTCTAGTCCTCAGTGTCACATGATCCTTCAGAAATCATTCTAATATGCTGATTTGGTGTTTAATCTGTAATTCTGTTTAATTCTTAGGGATGCCAAAGTGCTGATCTGCTTTGTAGGTCTGACATCCGCCAGCAGAAACGCACGTCTGCTCCTCCAGACCCTGTGTCTGCAGTTAGCCAACATCTATAACCTCAAAACAGAGATATCTGAGGTGCATAAACACTTTAAAGATCAATCAAATATTCATAAGGTCTTTTACACCGTATTGGATACACGATATTGTGAGATTGCTTGACTGTCTCACAGATAGTGTTGCACTATGAAATACAGTCTATGTTTTTTCCTCACAGTCACTGTCAGAGTTGTCTAGCGAGCTGTGCTCATTATTGGGCCTGGTGACAGAAGACCGGCCCTTGACCCTGGTGCTGGATGGTCTGGATAATCTGAGTGAGGAACATGAGGCTGACCTTTCCTGGCTTAGTAATGCTTTACTGCCAAACGTCGTCACTGTCCTGTCTGCCGGCACGCAGTCTAAATGTGCTCATATTCTACAGGTAAGCAGATGGGTCATAGAGAATTTACACTACCATTCAAAAGTTTGGGGTTGTTTGAATTTTTTAAAGTCTCTTATGCTTACTAAGGCTCACTAAAAAATACAGTAAAATTGCGAAATATTTTATTCAGTTTATAATAATTGTTACTCTTATACAATAAAATATACTCTTTCATTATATTTTAAAATGTAACAATTTAATTAATTAATTCCTGTGATGGCAAAGCTGAATTTTCAGCATCATTACTCCAGTCTTCAGTGTCACATGATCCTTCAGACATCATTCTGATTGGCTGATTTGGTGCTCAGAAACATTTGTTGTTTTTAATCAATGTTAAAAGCAGTTTTGCTGCGTAATCTTTTTGTGAAAACTGTGATACATGTTTTTTTATGATTCTTTGATGAATAGAAAGTGAAAAAGAACAGCATTATTTTTTTTAAACACTGTTTTGTTTATATACACTTTGTAATAGTGTCTTTTGTAACAGAACATTTTGTAACATAATTAATGCCTTTGCTGTCACTTCGTATGAATTTAATGGGTCCTTGATGAATAAAACTTTTAAATTCTTTCAAAAAAAGAAAAAATCCCAAACTTTTGATCGGTAATATAGTTCTGAATAAGGCCCAGTCTGGTGCACTATAAATGTTAAATATTTTATAGAATATATTTTATGTTATTTTATTTTATTAAAGTTAAATGTTATTTTATATTTTAAAACTCAACTGTACGCTTTGGCATTTAACACCGTATGAGAGCAGGTTTTTATGATTGGTTTTGGTCTTATGTTTTTGTGTGTCTATTGTGTTAAATTGAGTATGCTTGTACAGCACTTTGATAAACACTCGTTTTTAAAAGCGCTTTATAAATAAACTTGACTTTGACTTATTTTATATGTTATTTGATTTAAAATTAATAATAGAAAAAAATATAGTGCAAATAATGATCAGAGCAATGATTGTTTTTTGAGGGCAGTCAGTTTCTTGCCTTTCTTTTTTTTCAGTCCCAAGTTAAGGTCACTGTCCTGTCCCTACCGGCCCTTAACCGTAAGGATATCACTTCAGGACTGGTGTCAAGACTAGCATCAGATTTTCGCCAGCTGACTGAAAACCAGTGGAGCCTTTTATTCCAGTCCTGTCTTTCCTGTCCATCCCCTCTCTACCTCAATTTAGCCTATGCTGAGACCAGGAAATGGAGCTCCTTTACACCAAAAGAGAGTCTCAACCTCCCTACGGATCCGAATAAACTTTTCGTGAGCGTCCTTGTTAGTTTGGAGCGAGAGCATGGGCCATGTTTGGTGCGACGCACTGCTTTACTCATATCACTGTCCTGTTCTGGTGTGACCGAGGAGGAGCTTTTGGTGCTTTTGGGGCGTGATGATCATATCACACGTGAGATGGCGGTTTTGCATCATCAGACGATTCCCGTTTCTGAATACTCTCCAGTGCCTTATGCATTTGTGGCACGACTGCTGCATGGTCTGAAGGGTTATGTCACAGAAGTGGAAAGTGACGGCACGTGGGTTCTGCGCTGGACTCATGCAGAGTTCGCCTGCGTCGTCCTGCAGCGATACGCACCAACAGCAGACTCAATAAAAGCTGTACATGCAGACTTTGCAGATTACTTTAATGGGAATGTCCCAAATAGCCAAGTTTTTCAGCCACTAGCCTGGATCAGGAAGGAGAAGGGAAGGAGGTGCTATGAATTTAATTTGCGCAAGCTCCACTGTTTGCCGTATCATTACATCCACTCCGAGCAGATTATTCCTTTACTCACGCAGTGTCTGTTTAACTATGAGTTCCTGCTGCATAAACTGTGGGGTCTGTCTATCTATCATGTCGAGGAGGACCTTAAAACTGCCGTCATACCAGAGAAGTACGATTATGAGCTCAGCAAACAAGTTTGTTTTGCATGAATAGCTGTTTGATATTATGGGTATATATGTATAATAGAAATAAAAATATTTATATATTTTTTCATACATATATAATAGAAATTTTAAACTGTTTACATTTACATATATACTGTATACCATTGTATAATAAAAACATTTAAATTTCTATCATAAATAAATGTATAAATATTTTTTTGATATTATGGGGATTATAGGGATAGTTCACCTAAAAATTATGTCATTATTTACCCTCATGTTGTTTCAAACCTATATGACTTTATTTCTTATGAGAAGCATAAAAGAAGATTATTTGAGAAATGTGTGTGTGTGTGTGTGTGTGTGTGTGTGTGTGTGTGTGTGTGTGTGTGTGTGTATATATACATTCACATACACACACACACACACATACACACACACACAGTGGAAGTCAATGATAACCAGTTTGGTTACCAGCATTCTTCAAAATATGAGGGTGAGTAAATGATGACAGAATTTTCATTTCTGAGTGAACTATCCCTTTAACATTAGTTCAAAAAGTGTCTAAATGTATTTTTATGAAGTGTCAGAAAATGCTGAGACAGATTATCCTGTGTGTATGTGCTTTTATTGTGTGTGTGTGTGTGTTACAGAGAGCTTCTGGATGTGAAGGTGTTGGGTCAGGTTTTGTGTCTTTCTCATTCTGTACTATTAAATGATCCATGCCAGCTGGCCTCTCAACTCTTGGGCCGTTTGGAGCGGATCATTTTCCAAGACAAGCCTGTTACTTCAGGTACACACACAAACATAAGCACCAACACACACACACACACACACACACACACACACACACACAAGCGCAAACACACACACACACACACACACACCCTAAACACAA